ATCGTCCCCACTCGCCACCACATTCCCCATCTCGCAGTTCCCGCTCATCCGCAATGTCATTCACCCTCTCGCTAACCCGAAGCCGTCCCTTCCTTGCTATCGCCGATTCCACCTCCGCTGCGTTCCCGTTCTCCCACTGTAGCCTCTCCTCGCCTGATCCTCTCATCCTACCGCCCCCGCTCTCCCCAGTTGCAACTCGGTTCCGCCCCGTCACTATCACCGCCGTCCTCTCCCCGCGTCGTCCCCGTCCCATCGCGACCATCCCCACCTGTCCTCCATTCGTGCCTCACCACCATAGTTCGTTTCGCTCTCCGGCAGTGCGTCCCCGCCCCAACTCTATGCCGCGCTGCGCCGAGCCGCAATACCGGCGACGCAGCTTTGCGAAAGAAGAGGCGGGCGGCGGCCGCCAGGAATTCGCCGGCGGGACGCAAAGGAGAGAGGAACGCGCGAGGGAAACCGCCCGCCTGATCCGCGGACGGCGCAAAGCGGCGGCGGCGGGCGCTGGATATGTCGCATTCAAACTCCAAACAGATTTTTTAACGCGGAACAGGATGGGACTTTTATTGCGGGACGAGAAAGGCTTTGGCTCTGTGTGAAACAAGGAGATAAACACGTACCTCTTATACTCAATTGAGAGTGACTTACTAACAATATAAAACAAAATAAAAAAGAAAGAATGGAAAATCAAATGTTTTTTTACGCTTTCAATGTTAAAAAATTAAAAACATAATTTATCTATAAATAATTTCATACTTCAACTACAACTTGACTGAGCGAGTACACTAGTATAGCTACACTTTTCTATTGGCCAATGAAGAAATATTTCAGCATCACTTTGCTCAGGCTTCATTTCAAGAAATGGCTACCTATTAGGAAATCCATCAAGAATGTTTCTTTAGAGCTGAAACAAACTAGTAATGTTGTTGAGGAAGCGTGCGCTTAGAGGCGAGTGTGCTTGTAGTAGCGATGGCGGTAGCAGCTGTTGCCGAAATGAGTCAGCGGCGGCAACGGGATGTCGAGCGGAGGGCGAGGAGACTGATCGTGGACGAGGAAAGAGTGCTGGGAAACGGCCCAAAGGCGGGCGCCTGGCGTGGGCTCGCGGACGGCAGGCGGGGAAGTGGAAACGAGGACACTGAACGAGGGGTAGAAAGAAACCGAGTAAGGCAGAGAGAAGCCAAAACTCTGACGGAAACAGATGAAGGATCCCGTACAGGTCCGGCCGAAAACGGCGCGAAGGACGAGAAGAGAGTGGGAGAAGGGGCTTTGTGCCAACGAACCAACGGAGGTGGACATAACGGCGACGGGGATGCGCCGTCTGTGGCGTGGATGATGGCGGAGGCATGACAAGCGTGGCACCGTTGGCGGTGACAGCGACGACGGTGCTCGGCGGCCCGAAAATGCGGAATACACATCCCGCGGGCGTTTTTACTCCTCCCTCGACGTGGAGAGGCAAAATGCGAAGCAAGTAATCGCGCAATAAATATGTCGGGATTTTGATAGATTGCGCCGCCGCCTGGATTTATTGCGCATGCCTGCGATTTTCGAGGAAATCGCCGCGTAAGCCCAATGTAACAGGTGTTGCGTATGTGGCTGCATTCTTGTAATTCACATGAATATGTCGTTTTTTGTCGTTGAATGATGTATTTTGGTCGCGCAATATTTAGATTGTTTATATTGAAGTAATTTTTTTAAACTGTATTACCTAATGTTTGATCTGGAGTAGAATTTACTAAATAAGCGGAGTTCAAGGAAAAACACATAATTTCCGGCGCGTTTTCACATAAATATTTTTAAAAATCAAGGTTATATATGGGAGACCCGTTTTAAAGCAATTTTTAAGCTTAATTTGGTTTATCTATGATTTTCCTTTAAGTTCCCTTTACAAATGTACTACGCTAAGGAAAGATGGAGGTTTCGTACCATTTATAAGACAATATAGTGATAAATGTCCGTAAATGTGATACTCTTTGGTAGAGAAATACTTCCCAGCCTGGATTAAACAGATATAAGATGAATATGTGCAATTTTACTGCGTCATTAAAAACACAAGACAAATGCAATCCGCGACAAGTTTTACGCTGCTACTCACCTACCTGTCGCGCATAACATAAACAGTGAATCTTAGGCTGTGAAAACCCTGTCATAAGAAGTCTCAAATTATGTTTTATTATGACTCTTCTCGTCGTTTGAGAGGAGTCTCTTCCTACAAAATGCCGTCGACACAAACCCCTATGCAAGACGGCATATTATCTATTCCCGAGAATCCCAGCAAATCAGTTTCAGAAGCAAAATTAATATTAAAATTTCGCAGACTTAACATATACTACAATGGCATTATTTATTTGTGATTATGATGTAATTACAATGGTTTATTATATATTTATTTCAAATCGAAACAGAAATCCGGACTTATTTTTATGCCCAGCTGAAACCCGATCATTTCAAGTCATTACAGTAATTTTCTCTTTTACAAACAACAGAGTACGGTTTTTCGCACGGGTTCGACTTACTTTTTCACTACAGCAAAAGGTAAAGAAGAGAGTATATGAAAGTTAGTGAATCTCGTAATCACCTCGTACATTTTGGTGTACTGTATAATAATATTTGTTCGGCATTACTTAAACAAACTACTTCTTAACTCAAACATTTACAATTACATTATTGTAAAATATGAACTTGCGACTGTGAAATATGCAATGGTGAAAGACAATGCATTGTCCACCTTCCTTTTTGTTTTCCTTTTTTTCGTGCACTATCCTTCAGTCTATAGTTAATTTAAGAATGTATTAAAAATATTAGAACTATTTTCAAATTACAAACTTCATTCAGCACTATCACACAACAAGAACACATTTCCAAATACTTGCAAAATGTAGTTCTGAACTGAAAAGGAGATAAATAGAGGGTTAGAGAGTAAGTACGAGAATTTTTTTAATGATGGTCTAATTTCCTTCCTGCTTTGATAAACATGTTAATATGAAATATTTTCATTTTCTGTATAGCTTCATTCCTAGAATCAAACACCACGATATATTTCTTACGCTTGTATCAATGCCTTAATTGAAATTTCTACCAAGATAAAAAATAACGTATCAAGAAACCATGATAAATTGTGATAAAATAATTGCATTTATTAATAGTGACATTTAAACTCTTAATACTTTGCCAATGTTAATTATTAGATCACGTTAACAATTAGTACACAATGTTACGTATTTAATTTATATATTGTAATTATATTAATAACTATTGTTTAGAAGTATTAATAACTTACCAAAATATTTTTCATAATACTTCCTACCAAGGTATTTCATCTCAGAATAAATTATACTAACTTCCAAGGCATGTAGGACTTCTAAGGCAATCCCTTTTTTTGTCAATGATAATGGGATGGGAAATCTCATAAACCTAAGTTGTATATTACAAATTTCTCAATAACTCAAGTGCACTGCTGTTTGGTGGGAACACTCTGGTGCTAAGAGATTTCGTGTACTTGTCCAACACTGTATCTTCTTGTAAGTCACTGAACACTAGGGAGAAACTTACTACACATACACGAAGTGGCGGACTTCAAAACCAGACTATTAGTTGGTAGGATTCAAGAGCGTATCTCAAAGTGTATTTATATTTAGTACCTATATTTCCTGTGTTAGTGTATATTTACAGTTTATTTATTTATTTCTTTGTATATTTATTTTTTTATTTAGTTATTAATTTTTTATTTCTTTTTATATTTTATTTTTTGTTTTTCATTGTTTTATATTTATTTTATGTATTTATTTATTTTTTACTCTAGCCTCCATCCACTATCCTTTTGAGGATTAAATTAATATCTTCCATATGGTTTTTATAAGTATTTTTACGTTTTTAACAGTCAAAGCAAAAACTGGCCCTACGATATTACTTTTTCCTAAACGACAAAAATACTTAACCGTGCGTTTGCAAATAAGTTGATTGCTTCAGAAACTTACAGAACTGATGATCCCATGTCTTTTAGTTATAATAATTTCAACTATAATTGGGACAAAGTATTCTGCAATTGAGGTGAATTAATATGTCTGTACGATAATTTAACCTATTTTATGAAGACAGCAGTTACTTTGAAATACACAACAAGCGAACTATAAAACTAATCTAATAAATAAAATAGAACTAATTTCCTTTTTTTGCGCATTGTAAACATTTTTTCTTTGGATCGAACATAAGGTTTTGATTATAAAATATTGTAGATTTTTTCGATGATTTCAGCCTAACAAATACTTTGATAATCCGGAATATTTTTTAAAACATTCATTCGAAATATTCACCAAGAGAACAATGGAATATTTAATAAATAAACAATGGATATTCTATAGTTTAACTATAGTCAACTATCCTCTCGGCATCTGCACCCAGCTTCCAGTTCGGAATCCAGACAGTCGCGCGCCTCGGGGGTTCCATAACTCCGCCGAGTAACGCAGTGTTTTGTGGTCTGTTCCCGGTGGCGCTGGGTGGTGGTGGCGGCGGTGGTGGTGCTGCGTGGTCCGATGGGGCAGTCCGGTGCTGCAGATCTCGCACTTCGCCTACTACGAGTACCCCGGCGGCTCGCGGGTGCCCGCGTGCCACACGCGCGTCGACACGGTGGAGAGCGCGGCCTTCTTCGTGGCAACCATCTCGGTGTTCTTCGCGCTGCCGCTGCTGCTGCTCGTGGGGCTGTACGCGGCCATCGCGCGCCGCCTCCGCGCCCCCGCCGCCGCCTCCGCCGCCGCGCCGCCACCCCGTGCGCGCACCGTCGCCGCCTCCCGCCGCCGTCGCCGCCGCCGCCGCCGCCTGCGCCGCCGCGGCGCGCGTGTCGGCGGCGTCGCCGGGGCGGCGGGCGCCGCGCGCGCGCGACGACAGGTGCTCCGATATATATGCGTTCGCACGCGACCATGTTACGCTTACCGAGTTACGCAATGATGAAATTCTGCTCCTGTCGCCTCACACGCCATTTCCTTGTATTAATAATGTTTTACGCAATGGTGAAATTCTGCTCCTGTCGCCACATACGTTAGACTTCAAACGAACATTCCCTTGTATTAATAATATTTGACGCAATTGTGTGCTCGAAATTCTGCTCCTGGCACCTTATACGTTAGATTAATAACGAATATTTCTTTGTATTACCATTGTTTTGCGCAGTAAATAAATTCTGCTTCTGTAGCCTCATATGTTATTTTAAAAACGTGTATGTACTTTTATTAATATTTTTGGTAATGGAGTTGTTCTCTTCACGCCTCATATGTTAAGAGAAACAATAATATTTCCTTTACAATTACATTTTGCAAGTTAAATTGACAAAATTAATGCTATTTTTAAATAGTATTCTTCATTATTTTTTATTTACTAAATAAATGATAATTGTTGTGATGAATAATTTGCTTAAAAATTATATCTGCTTTCAGCGATGCGGCGTAATAAAGTCATATATTCATAGGTTTGAAGACTTTTTAGCAACTGACTGCATGCCTTTTATTACTTTATTTCTTCTTGTTTGGCAATACAGTCTTACAGGTATCTTAATAGCATACAATTAGTAGTTAGTGACATTGTTGGACAGGTCATCCGTAAGCAATGAGTGGTTTTGAACTCTAAATTGATAGTTAATTAAATATAATGGGTTTAAAATTGGGAAGAAAAAGTAAAATTATTATGTTAAGGGAAGGAATATGTGCTATATCTAGCCCCCAGTGACATCCCGTTATACACATTGCAACTTCGGAGAGTGCAGGCTTCCGCGGCCGGAGTCAGTAGCTACTTGGCTGTCCGGGAGACGTCACGCTTGTCACAAGATGTTAACGGGTCAGCTATTCTGCAACCTTCTTCTTTCGCCCTGAGGGAGGTCTCAGAATGGCAGCCAAAACGTTGGCTCTTGTGCCCAGGAGGCGGCGTTCCCGGGCAGCCAAGTTGCTACGCAGCTGTTTTTGGAGTATCCGAGAATGTGGTTATTAAAACAGAACCTAGGATTATTTAATAGTCCTATAAAAGTATATTGATATCACAGTTATCAGGAAATTGCATAGTAGTATGGATTAATAAAAACCTACCCTGTGAAACTCAATAAAAACATCGTATGTTTCACATCAAGAAGAATGGTAGGCAAGGATTGCACTGCTCAAACAAATGTTAATTACATTATTTTCAACATTTTCTCTAAAACTGTCTGATGGCCGCATTCAGATATGAGTATTTTTTTTGGAACCTCTAGTTTTTTTCTTTGTAGGTGATATAATATGTCAAAATTTGATCATTTTTGGTGATGTTTTATGTAATCAAAATCCGCCACCCTATTATTACATATAAATGCACGATCAATGTAATTAATTAAATACGGCTGTCTTGACCTTCTCAATTATTAAGCGTGGGAAAAACGTTGAAAATAAGATAACTACAGAGGCCTCACAAATAATGGTTCTAACTTCTAGAGCACCTAGGGGAATCAAAAATTTCTCAATCGACGAGCACTGTAATCAGTAAATTATATGTAAGGAAGTTATACATGTGTTATTTGCTAGTAATTGGTAGGCTACCCATCATACACTGAGATTCAGAAGGTAAACAAAATACTTTTACCCACCTCAGAACGAGACCGTAACAATGTCTGATGGGTTGCTTACCAATGAGGGGCAAATATCACATGTGTAACTTCGTTACATGAAATGTCTCACAACCTACATGCCCTAGAAGTTTGTAATATTTATTCTGAAACATTTTACGTGCTGTAATTCGCTATTTGTAGTGCCTTAACAAAGTGATGCAGCAAACCCAGAGCGGAGGAAATAATATTTGGAACATGGACAATATTTTGTATGCCTGATTTCAGTCTCACATTGGGCCACCCTTCTGGTTTAACACCGAACAAATTCGAACTTTTGTAATTCCCAAAAATTCAGTGTTAACCGTGAAAATTAGACCTGTGCCATCTTTATAAGTGTATTTCACTGTAACATAAAATTTGTCTATATAAAGTGTTTGAGAAAGTAATTTACTACAATTTGAAACACGATTTATCCACTTTTCTACATTAGGGCTCCGCAATACCAACTTGGTACCGCGAGTTTTTCTGTGAAAAATTGCTGTTTTTTGCAGCAGCATTACATACATTTCTGTAATCTACGTATGTTACTCCGTATATACGTACGTATACGAGAATGTAAAAATCGTGAGCGGTTGAGTTATGATGTCACACAATAATAATAATAATAATTATTATTATTATTATTACTATTACCATCATCATCCTCATCAATATAATACTCTACACAAATTTATCAATAAGAATAGTCTAGCTAATTTATCATCAATTTTTGTTTATAGTTAATTAATACATTTAGTATGAATTTCCTAGTTAATTTCCTTCTAATTGCGTTTTGAAATATTTTCTCACAACTTTTGTAGTAAAGGTGAATGAAAATAAATTTCCAGTTCCCTCTAGATGAAATTGCATACCTTAAGCGTATTTTGAAAACATTCAACAAAGGCTCAACGTTTGTACAATAATAACTATAATTGCACTGCATTCCGCGGGACTTACTGAACAATTCCACGTATTTTTAAATTCACGTAGACCTCTCTCCACACTCTTTCTTGGCCCCTCTACGTGAGTCATTAAGCCCACGTGAGTGGACGGCAACATTTGTGCCTGACGACGTACGGCTGCCTGCTAGGGTTAGCGAGCGTGAGATCGCAATGGTGTTACGATTAAACGTTTTGCTGTTGAGTTTAGTCTGTCAGTTTCTACTCATTGGCATGTGAATTTGTGATGTATATTTTTGGTGATATTTTACTAATTTAGTTTCTGTATGTTACTTCAATTAGACCTGAAAAATGCTGTAATGTTTGTAAAATTATGCTTGGTACGTTGGCATGGCCACCATACCATAAACACAGGTAAATGTCTATGCCCAGAAAAAATTCGAACCCACAGTTTTTGTTGCCGAGCCCACCACTGCACTCACTCCTTTGCGATATCAACCATGATGGCCGTTTTTTTAAATTATATGCTTTGTTCCAAAATATCCTAATTCTTAAATTATATATTTTAAGTATTTTTATGAAATAGTTATACATTCTTGTAACAAGGAAATAAAGGTCAAGAGGATTTATTCAAGGGCGAAAATTTTTCGACATTTACTTATTTTAATTTTGATTTCCTTTCACGGCCCTCCGTTATGTCGATAGCACCACTATTCAAATTTTAATGAATATTTAGGATTCTGAGTTGTTAGGTAGCAATATTCGAGGCGTGTATTTCTCAAGATTAGTTGCCTCTTCGAATTGTGGAAGCAAAATATTTCAACACACAACACAAAATACACTGAAACTGACGATTTGTTTACGAAGTCCGAGCTCTCAGTTGAAAATAGTGTATATTTTAAGAATGTGTAAGGTTTTTCTTGTTATGCTTAAGAATTGGAACCTTCAAGAAAGGAGAATGTCCTTGTTGTACAATGATAGAAATGTCGATGTCCCGCTGAATATGTGACACACCTGGCAGTGCTCAGCAGCCATTTTGTATTTTGTTAAATGACGGGTGTTGGACTTTACAAAATGACGGTTTGGACCATTTACAAAATTCCAACGTCTCAAAAGTCTATGTCCTACTTCTATGAAGGAATTACTCTTCTTAGGCACACCAAACAGATATAAGAGAAATAGTGTAGTATTAGTAGTTTGTGCTGTGGAAAAAATCAGCAGGCGCTCATGCAATCAGCAAATACAGCGAACTAATCTCGAAAACCTCTTTCTTGGCCCTTTAAAAATAGGATATGTTTCCTAAGTCTAATCTACAAAATGAGTCTTTTGGGACCTTCTGTTTCAATCTACTTCGTAATACATATGATTAAAAGCATACAAAATCTAAGTAAAATTAAATTGACTATCTGGTATTCTGCACAATTTAACTATGCGGGTTTATCTTTTTGTTCGTTAACAAATGTATAACGATATTATATTTTTTTAAATTACAGAAAACAAACGATAAAACTTTAAAACTGTACTTTCTCAATGTATGAAAATGACATCCCAGTTTTCCCACGTGCCCTTCTTGTAAGTTCTGATTGATGGTTGGGCCCACTTCCAGACATATTTCAGTGGTTGAGTTCAGTTTCACTGACATCCATTCATATATTGGCAATTTTCTAATCACTCTCTCAAACTTGATGTCATCTGATCTGAATTCAGAATAAAAGCAAGAAATTTTTAAATACGTGAAATTGAACGTTAGAAATCGTATTTAGAATTTTAAAGATAGACCGCTTCTCCACAAAATTAAATAACTATCTCGTAATAATTCCAATTGCGCCATCCATCCTTCGAGAAAGACATCATGAGAGAAATATTCCCCTCATGCACTATGTTGCCTATTTCACATGCATATGTTGAAAGTAGCGCTACACATGCTGTCTTCCACTTTCGCTCCACTGAACGAGCATTTTTCCTATTTTCCGCTCAATGCTCAAAGTACGAATTTTCAATATTGTGAAGTTCTTTTGTTCTATAGGGATATTGAGTTTGTGAAATAGCTAGAACATTAAAAGCATGAAACGTTGGGCTAATTGACCTAAAATATGAATATTACATGAGATATTCTGGAATGAATATCGTGTCATTTTAACCGTTAGGATGCATTCATGACTTTTGGAGCGTCTGTTGATTCATTATCTTCTGCTGAATGTTCTCGAAACGAGCCTTTGTGGCAGGACTATTTTACGCAAGACTTTAGTGAAATGAGAAAGTGATATACCTTATGAGTATCTCACAATGTGTAAATTGTATAATTCTTGGCATGAGTGGACATTCTTGGCTACAACTGGTGCTGTCTTTCTGTTTTCCGCTCAAAGAACGAATTTCCGATACCGAGAAGACTTTCTGTCTATGACAGATATTGAATTCGGTGAATAATTAGAACAGCGAAAATATTACATTTTTCTCTAATTGGCCTAAACTGTAAAGTTTCGGAACACATTCTGAAAAGAATAGAGTTCCAATTGAAGCATTTGGTTACATAAATGTCGTCTGGACTGTACGTCAATTCATTACCGCTTTGAAAGTTCTCGTTTCCTGCCTTTGAGGCAGGACCGTTCCAATTGAGTCGATCGTGGAATGGGGTGATACCTTTTACTACGATTGAGTTGCTCACAATCTTCATTTGTCATGGTTTGTTTGAGAAAATTCTATTGAGCACCACCGAACATGCATTTTCCTATTTGTCTCTCAAAGAACGACTTTCCAATACTTCGTCATACATTTTGGAAAGAGTATTGTGACAATTGAAGCGTTTGGATCCATTCATGGAGTTTGAGCAGAGTGCCAATTCATTATCTCTCTTCTTCAGGTTTGTAATCATGTTCGCATCTTCATGGAATCAATAACGAATTTCATCCAATAGCTTTTAACACGTGAATTGTATACAGTTTGATTTAAAACCAAACTCGGGACATTTAAATTAAACGGTAAACAATTATATTGGGAACAGTTATATGAATTAAAAACATATTTATATACTTTTTTGGCATTTTTGTCTTCCAAGGCTTTATATTGTATATTTTTCGAACAAATTACGTGACACAGTACTCTTCTGAGGTTACTCAACGAACAGACATCTTAATATTCTTCCAACCGCATTCAAATGAACTAATTGATTTTTATTTTAACCCTATTCTCGTATAAAGAACCCGAAACTATTACATTAATAATTAATTTTGGCAATTGTTTAGATGGAGATAATTAGGGAGGGTGTAACATGTATTTTGAATGTCGTGAGCGTATCCTCATGGGATAGGATAAGCTGATATTACGGTATTGAAATAGCTGACCTGGGACAGGTTTGAAGATAGGCATGAAAACGGGTTAATGTTCTTCCTATACGTTCAAAGTGTGCTTTATTGCTAGTTTATTTTGAATTTGTTTACTTTGTATCAGCTATGGACCATTTATTGCGGGGCGGAGAAATGTAATTTGTATTTTTTAATATTCGGGAGATTTATTTTAGATGTACCTCAGTTCAGGGCCAGAGCGATTTATTAAGAATGGACGCATTACGTATCTGAAGATAGTCAATGCTGTATCAATAAATATTTATGAATTTTTATTTATAAATGAATACAATTTTAACATTTATATTTGTGCACTTTTTGCTGATATGTTTATCTTGTCTACCATGTTAGTCGCCTGTGTATTTGAAGTCCGAGGTTTGTGACAGGAATTGAAGTTGAAAATCATTGGATGACTGGGTTGTTTAAAGTCAATGGTGAAATGGGATTTATATGTAATGTGAAAGTAAATACATTGGTCTGATATGTATTTGAATGAAGCTCATCTTTCCATTTATTTATTAGTGTGTATATGATTGTGTCATCTGCAAACAGGGAAATTCATAAGTTAAATTCTAGGTATCAGAAATGAATGTTAAACAATGTAGGTGTCAAGGAAGAACCATGCGGCACTCTCATTATGTTTTAGATTGATTTGCATATGCAACTTACGGCAATCTTACGGCACGTTCCTGTAAAGGAAAAATAGTGTAATACTGCGGCAGAAATCGGCGAGTTTTTGGCAGAAAAACTCGTAAAATGGGGCTCTGATAAGGAAATCGTGGATAAATATATATTTCTCAATGTAGTAAATCATTTCCCGTAACATGCTGTGCAGTCATAATGCTCGTTTTGTGAACACTTGATATAAAAAATCGATGGAAGGCAAAACGTCAGTGTCGGTCTGTCCGTGTGTCTGTCTGTCTGTCCGTCTGTGGTCCCTCTAGCGCCTAATCCGTTGGGACGATTTTCTCCAAAAATGATATTTCCCCATTGATCTAAACGAACTCGATGCCCTTCCACTTTGAAACTGATATTTTTATTTTGGGGAATAATTTTCATGAAGCCTCAAACACATTTTCAAGCATTTCTCGAAAATGGCTCGAAGTGGCGCAGATCTCATTATCTTTAAAATCTTTCAATTTTCATTTCAAAAGTTCCATTTTTTCGGCGTCATCCTACAACAACAGTATTGAAGATTAAAATGTTTTCCTGATTGAAATCTGTTCTTCATAGACAGTTCTTGAAATGATTTGTGGATGAACAATTTTTTAAAAAATATGTGTAATTTTGCGTGATATATAACCAATATTTAAAAAGTTTGTTTGCACACACTACTCCGATGCCTTTCTTTAATTCTTTCCTGAGGTATGCTTGAGTAACGATGCTTAAAATTTCGCATGTGTCGTTTTAGTTGAACTTTCTGAAATTTCGAAAATTCCAAAAATTAGAAAAAATGATCGAAAGTATGTGTTGTTGTACCTCCATCAGTTTGGGTATAATAAGAAAATTCAATAAGACTCATTTTGTAGAGAAGATATTCGTGCCAGGCTCCAAAGCTTTTTGAACGTCTAAGAATTTGATTAATGTATGTTTATATTTTAGAAAGATATCTGCAATGTGGTCCCTTAATCGTAGCAACTCATGCGCATCAGCTCAATCGTAGCGTTGTGGAGTGATTTCTGCGGAAACCAAATTGAACTTTCAAAGAATGTCCTATTGTCTCGTGGATTAGTTTATTCGCGATAGAATGGCGTTTTCACAGATACGTTTCAAATATTGGGTTCAGATTATATCCATATTAAATTTTGGAATAGATAAAACTAAGACCATTTTCTAAATATGAGAGAAGAAACCAGATCTTAAATAATCATTATAAATGAATGTCTGTTAATGAACTTATTGCTTGATGGGGCAGTTCCTTTAGCACACGATTAGTAGTATTGTGTAATATGAGTGCTTTTCTATTTTTAAACTTGCATATTAAAAGGTTTCTGAGGGCAGAATTAACTTCCCTCTTTCCAATATTATGCAGAAAGAATTTAACATTTCTTTGAATATTTTATCTTAGTATGTAGAGTTAACTGTGGGGTTAACTGCGAACTAATTTTGAAACGGTTTTTCGAAGAATTTTACTTCCTTCAAATCTGTTTTTGCAAACATATTTCCGGATTTTAGGGGTGCTATTTGTACTAAATGTTTAGTGAAAAATTGAATTGTTGGTTAGAGTGAAGCGGAACTGAGCTGTAATTGAGAAATAAATTAATAAGAATTGAGAACATTTATAGTACATTCTTCTTTAGATTTTACTTGTTTTGTCAGAACATTTAACTTCTTTCTTCATTTGTCAATTGTTTATTTAAGAAAATTCTCTTGAGTACCACCGAACTATCATTTCACTATTGCGCGCTCAAAGAACGGATTTCCTTCATACGTTCTAGAATGAATATTATGTCAACTGAAGCGTTTGACTCCATTCATGCAGTTTGGAGCGAATTCCCATTCATTACCTGTTGTCAAAGATTTGTGCTTGTGTTCGTGTTCACATTTGGATGCAGTCAATTAGTTACGAGTTTATTATTGAATTACTTGTAACATATAAATTATGTACAGTTTGATTTGAAAACAAACTCGATCATTAAATCATACGTTAAACAATTACATCGGAAATAATAACAGGGATTGAAACCCTCATCCATGAATTGAGAGACACTGTCAAAAGAATTCTCGAAAGATTGCTCTCTTTATGACACTTGATAGCTATCATTGTGCTCCATCCGATTCTGAAAATCCTGGCGCGCGGTTCGCAAACAAATTGCGAGGGCGACGCGAGCGCGGGCGGCGGTTGCGGGGGCGATGACGTCGCGACGGAGCCGGGGGGGGGGGAGGGGCGGTCGCGGAAGTGCGGGCGACGCACGCGCGACGACAGGTGCCTATTTTTCTTGGCGCACCTGCGTGCGGTGCTGCGTGGCGCGGCGCGTGCCAACTCGGCTGCCGGAATGCGACTAATGTTCATGCAATTACACGACGCGCCGACCAGCTCCGGGCGCAAGGTTAAAGGCGACGGATCGGAATACTAGATGCAGTTCCACGCTCGATACAGTTTGAACGAAGAACTTTTCAATTGGTTGGTTTCATCACAGTTCTTATATCGGTGTCTAAATGTTCGTTGCCTGAGGCTGTAAAAAAAGAAGAGTAACTTGTTTATCACACCGAGCGTGAATATAAAAAATATATAAATACATGTACTTATGTGAGAGATGTGATGGTATATCTACATACTCTTGAAATTAGTTATACTCAATTTAAAGCAAACACTATAAACACGTCACAAGCATAAACATTTTTAAAATTAACCATTTCAATGAAACACGCTGCGAAGGCTATAAAATAAAAACATCAAGATGGAGTTATTAATAGATAATGTAGTCACACAATTTTGTAACGTGGCTATGTAAATTAGATTGACACGTTGAGCCATCCACTTTATTCGTGTAATGATGGATATATATTCGCTGTGTGATACTGAGCGAGAGAGTAAGTACGTGGGTGGTTCCTGTTACTAATTGGAAGAGCTATGTTGCATGTCTGTTTGGCAACAGGGCAGCCCAAAATTTGTTGTCGAGTAATGGAGTAATGTTTCCCAACTGGTTGGTGTTATAGCATGTAGTATTTCTCGTGCTACAAATATTTATGTTCTTGATGCAACTGAATTTCGAACTATTCGTGCGATTTCTTCTCAAAAATTAAATATAAAATTATTAAATTAAAACGTGGGCCTCTGTCAAAATCTAAGAGGACTTTTTAATAGTTAATCATTATTCTTTGAAAGCGTATATCATTCTATAGGTCAATCTATTGGCTGATTATCTTGAGACAGGAGCAGAATTTTTATCGTTGAGTTATACAGTTATACAATGTTGTTTAATATTCAGTACAGCGTAAAATGATTTCCAGTTCTAATTCTGAAATTCCAATTAAAATGTACAAATCATATATCATATAATCAAATTATATCCAATTGAAAGGTACTACAATTCAAAAATCTTAAATCATTAAATTTGAATCTTGCGTTTCATATGTTTTAACTTATCTCTCAATTTATACATTCATTACTATTTCCAACTGCAAGTCATTGTTACGTAAATATTTTAAAGGGAATAAGTCTACTTAAAAATTGTTCTTACTTATTTAGCGTACTTTTTAGTGTTTTGTAATATTATAAACTTATGAAATATTTTTCATGACTTATCATCTGAAATGGAATGTTAAAACCACTCTTTGGAAATTCACAGAATATTTGATAATCCATCACTTCACCATCCAAATATCTGACTTATTTTTCAATATGCTAGTCCGTAACAAAAATTATCCATTCTTTCCTTAGAAAATGTAAGTGATAGAATCGGTGGATTTGTGCGGTTTCAAACATTTCAAAAAATTGAAATAAAAGATTCGAATTGTTTAATCATAGTCATGGCGTGAGCAACTTACCCTCGTAAAATTTCAAGAACTATCGAAAAAATGCATTTATCAGATCAGAAGAACAAGATCGACATTATGACTTCATCATGCTCCCACAAATTAAATATCAAACATATCAGAATTATGTAGCATTAAATAGTGACTGAGTATTGGTTAATGTTCTTTCTAAGATGAAGAATTGTTCATTGTATTTACCTTTTAGATACTGACACTTTCATTTGAAAATCCAGTCAAAATTCATGACATGGACGGTTTCTTCTTATCTATATTCTATGTAGTCGAAGCTTCCATTTTTTTCTTAAAACTGGTTTGTTTCCGCACTGAAAGGAAGTAAATTCTCAGTCAATCCTCCTTGTGGAAATTTTAATAATTAGTTCATTTTTTAATCAGGTCTGCAATATTTTACTCATAAACATTTTTTAAATAGAGCAGATTCATTTGACAAAATCATTAACTTTTTTTGTGCTACATTAATTTCAGAAACATTTCTCACAGTACCCAATACCGAAGAAGGTTGCCGGACAATGAATTTCTTGTTGATGCCTACAGATTTAAAGAAACCATTTATCTTAACGCTTGCCAATATAATCTTAATATATTTTCTATGTATTTATTGCGAATCTCATTTTCTGATTAACAATTTTTCCTTAGATCGGAGCACGCAGAAAGAGAAAAAAGTTTGCGTCGTCTTCGAAGTTTGATTAATAATGTGCTTTGATGTGAATGATATCTCGTTTTATTAGGGTTTGTTTTTCTATTGTAGTACATTAAAACTGTGTATCGTAAGTAGTACGTAGTTGACACTTATCCATTGAAAGTCATAGAAGCTCATTAGAATCTGATTTAAAAGTTCTTCAAATCATATTATTTACATTAATGAAGTAAGCAAACTGATTTTATTACCGTATTTTTTATGACATCAGTTTTCATATGAAACTTCTGTACCGAATATTTTGCGACTCATATCTGAGGCTCTCCCATTTGTCTCTTCCTTGTTCGAGTTCGCTTTGTGTTGCGGTAGAAGTTTTCCCTTTGAACGAGTTGCAACGAATATAAAAAAACTCCACAAAATACAATAGAAATACGCGTTCAAATGTTGACTTTCTAAGCAAAAATATCATTGCGTTGCCAGTTTTCACCCGCTGCTGTGGCTTGTTTGAAAACAGTTACGTAGGTAGTATTAAAAAAGTTGTTAATGTTTGCTGTTACCATAATTGCACATAAACGCAAGCCATTCAAAAGAACAAATATTAAGAGATTATTTGAGATGCAATTAAATTCAAACGTTGTTGCTAATTCTTATTATAAAGTAATTCTCGAAACCATATCTATTTTTAATTCATATTCAAACAAGAGCAGCGGGGTCGTCCCTCATGATTCAATAAAGAATGCATTTCCTTTATTAAAAGGCAGTTATAAAAGTATTATTTAATGTTTGTCAATACTTTAGTGTGAAAATATTGAGGATTTATTATGACGATCGGAAGGAAAAAGAAAATCCGATGCTATTGTCGGCGCTAAAGAAAGATTCCATAAAAAGGGACTATTTAATTGCGAGCGACTTGGAATATCAGATCTAAAGTTCAAGGAACTTATTAATACTATCTGGGGAAAAAACAAAGCTTTCTATATTTAAGATATTTTCGTACAGATATTTGTTTATAGTTCATACATTATGTAATATCCGGGTTTAATATCTACATTCTTTTCGAGCACCTGTATATTAAAATGTTTAGGGACCCGGGAATTCAGGTTTGAGTTTGTAATATTTTTGTTTACTTTGCCCATTTTTCAGCCCCAATTTTCATCTATAACAATACAAAAGCAATTTTTATTTATAATTTAATTTCCTTAAAACATTTTTATTGCACTTATTCTATAGTATTTGAATAATTTTATGTAGTTTTCTTTAGCAATTGATCTCTGAACGAAACGGGGCTTCCTGTTTCAATATGTCCATTTATTTTATTTTAACCATTAAATGTCTTACAAAGGGCAGTTGGCCTCCTACTACTGGGTAGTTAAACTCTACAATGATTGCCTAGTACTCGTAGTTGGTATTTACTAAGTTACTAAAAGAATTTCTTTTGCGAGCATTGGGGGTGCAGATAAATACGTAGTAGCTCTCTCGAAAACGTTCTGACAAGCGTGGGAGGCCGTGCTCCGCTGACCGGGCGCTCCGTTGCCAGGTGGTGGTGATGTTGGGCGCCGTGGTGGCGTGCTTCTTCGTGTGCCTGCTGCCGTTCCGCGCGCTTACCCTCTGGATCGTGTCGGTGCCGAAGGAATCGCTGCAGGCGCTGGGCTTCGAGCGCTACTTCAACATCCTGAGCTTCTGCCGCGCCATGACGTACCTCAACTCGGCGGTGAACCCCATCCTGTACAACCTCATGTCGTCCAAGTTCCGCGCGGGCTTCCTGCGCCTGTGCTGCGAAGGGCGGTGGGGCGGGCTGGGGCGGGGCCGCGGCGCGGACGGGGGCGGCGGGCACGGAGGGCACACGCCTCACCGCCTCCTCGTGGCTGTCCCGCACCAGCAGCCGGCGAGCGCTGGCTTCCCGCGGCTGCTGCGCGCCGATGCCACGCCTCCGCCCACCGCGCCCGCCCACGCGCGCTCGCGCGCCGCCGCCCCCGCCACCCCGCCCACGCACTCGCCCACGCCGACCGCAAGCAAGCGATCGCCGCGCTGGCCGACGCCGGCGCCGACGCGGACGCGGGCAAAGGCGCGGAGATCTACGTGTGATGCGTGCGTCAGTGGACTAAAAGACGCCAGACACATTTCCAAAGAATATTCCAAACACGCAAGGCAATCTTCCCCGATGATCTGCTTTTGTATGAATATTATTGACAGAGTTAGCAACTTTTTCTTGACTCTGTGCGTCTGTGCGTAGCTGTGTCTCCCAACAAGCCGAGAAAAAGCGTTGGGTAACCTATGAAGACTGACTTATAATTCGTGCCTCTCTCATACAAATGAGGTTTGGGAACCTCGCAGCTTGTCCAGTGTTGATCATCCTGATCCGAAACCAATTGACCAATTTTTGCTATCAACGTTTGTCAAATATGAATATTAAAATACCATGGTCTCTTTTCTATCATAATGAATGAATAATGCGACAGACTTCACGTTCTATCTTTCTAAAATCCGTGAGAGAAGAGTACTTTCTGAATTAAGTACTGAAATAAGTAATGATTATCTATCATCGTAAGAGTTTGAGTGTAAAAGAATGTTTCAAAAATGTAGGTATATAGTTAATTTAGATTCTTTTCAAGTTTTATTTGAGGCAATAGCGAGAAATACTGTTGCGACCCAACGCTTTCATTCTGGTATATGATAATATGAAGAAAATTTATTTCAAATCCTGACTTGGTATTTTTATATTCTGACTTGGTATATGGTCTTTGGACTTGGTGTATTATATTACTTGATATATTCTGACGTAGTATTCGTTCAGAAATATGTAGTATTTGTACGTATAAAACAATCCTGTAATATTGTTTATGTCTGTATATACAGTAGAAGTATTGGAATCAGTTTTTCGCAGACAATATTAATTCTCTTTAAAATTTACAAATTTATGTCGTGTTCGTTTAATGTGGAAATTTTAAAAAATATTAAATATTGTCTGTGAAAAAGTATTTATTCCCCTTGTCTCGTGACCTCATCGAGTATTGGATGGGTTTGATAAATGTAGAGATGTAAAAACTTCTGAGCTAAATGTATCATTTAACATTAAAGTAGCACTGTTCATTCGTAGATTGATGCACGAATGAACCCTTTAACTTCAAAGAAAACTCTTTCCACGCAGTGACGGTAGGAAAATATTGACTGAAACCTTGTAGTATTTGACTGACAGACATTTATATCTTTGACAGAAATCTTCAGAATTTGTCTCCTAAATTCTTTGTGTGGGTGCAACAAATATCAGTGTGCGTATATATACTACATGTGTTAAAATGTGTGTAAAATTCTTAGCCAATTTTGTTGTTAAATATTCATTAATGTGTTTTATTGTTTAAAAATGGAAACCAAATTTGTTTCTCAATTACGTTAGATGTGATTAAAAACCTCTTCATTGTATGAGTGTTGTATTCCAGTATCTATAAAACTCCAAAATGTTCCTGTTCTGTAATATTCCACCTGTTCACGTATTGTGAATGCGAATAAATTGAACTGTATTATTCACTTGTGTTAATTGATTTTAAACATAACTGATACATAGAGAAGGTGCGTAAATGCCTCGTCATATCTTCAATGCCCATCCATAACATCCAAATCCTTATCTTAAAACAGCTGAGATTTTAATTATGTGATTCGTTAACTGGATATTAGATCTATAAAAACGTTTGGTTTCTGTTTAACCATTCCTCTTTTCTCTTCACTGTCCCAGAGCTCACTTCATTAAAAATTGTTTATTTTGTACTTATCAAAATGTCATATGCATATTTTTACCCCATCCATTGGGATTTATAATGTGAACCACTGGTTGTTTACATGCCTTTAGCACTACATATTTACACAAATATCTGAAGGGGCCACATGAACCATCGTTGATTCTCACTTCAAACTAATCCTCAATTTTGAAAGAAAGAAATTCTGACACTTTACCTACTCACAGAATATTCATCCGGAGCTTTACTCTTTGTATATTCCTAAATGAAATTTCTGAAAGTAGTATTAGTTGCTTTCCACCACAATGAAATAGATTCCTCTAAATACACTTAACAACAACCATTAGAACCATGTTTGATCACAATATCGACAGCCACCTTGATACCATGAAAGGAGGAAGTTACCTTATTTTCCGTAGTCTGTTTTGGTAATATTTGTAGAGGAAGACCCTTTTGTGACTAGTTGGAGTTCAAGTATTAGCTCATCAGCATTGCCAATTTTTCAAAATAGACTTCTAGGATGTGAATTATCATACCTCAGAGAAGTTTATACTAAAAGAAATATCGATAGATTCAACCTTATGTGTGGCACCATTAAAGGGGCTTTTAGAGGTAAAGTACAAAAAGACACAATCCTAAATGTTATGGCAGTGCCTTGAGACCTACACGGAAGTGAAAACTAGATTATAAATTCCAAATCCTATATCAGAATACAGGCTGCTGAAAGGAGATTTTGATCCTAAGAGTAACAAGAAGAGACTGATTGATAAACGAGATCATCCGGGAGAATCTTGGAATTTACAATCTAAACGACAAAATCGAAGAATATAGAAAGAAATGGAAAGACCTAAGGATGAAAAATAATTGTTCACATAAGCAATTTCTCTTCTATACACCTTGAGGGATAAGAAGAATTGGCAGACCCAAAAGAAAATGGAGTGATCAACGAGTAGCAACGGACCAACAGGTCTAATGTCTGAGGGAGAAGAAGTGAATGTATTAAATAAATTTGAGTAAAGAAAAACAATTTCAAGCACAGTGTGCAGAAAAATTAACAATTTGTAGCGATATGATGCTTATTTAGAAAATTGGCAAAATATGCTAGATGTGCATCTTAAAATATGTTTAAATAATTGCTAATTGGGTATTTCATTCACATTTCAAATGAACATCTTTCTGAATATGGGAGATAAATATGCATTTACATAGAAATTCGTCCCGTACATACGATACTCCAGGTGGCTACGGTGGTTTGAAATGGAAGATCACGAACCTCTTTCTGGCACAAGGGCCATGCTGAGCAATATAACCGCAGTGTTAAAATATTTTTACAGTGAGAATAAATCATAATGCGCAGGAATCGATATATTTTACTTACCAATTCATCAAAACTGTTTCGTTCACTTTATTTCATCATTCGAATTACCATATACCACTCATATAATATCATGATATTGGATAGATCAAGAGTATTTTCGTTATGAACTTCTTGTTTATTGAACCACCAGCCATTTGTTTGTCGAAGCGTTAGGAGCGTGATAGATGAAATATCCATGACCAAAGCATACTATCTGCTTCACACCATTTTGTGAGTCACGTGTGGGTACTAGATGAGTGTATTGAGCTTATCAGCTATCTGCAGACCCCTGAAAGCCCTTATATCTGCGCAAACAGAACGGATCTCGCCTACTACTTGCCTAATGAAGCTACGGCCATGAACCACCTCCTAAACTATGCCTAAACGACCATGTTAACAGAGAGTTTTGTTGGATAAAATAAACACAAGCACGACAGAAATATTTCGGGTTTACGAATATTTACATTATTATGTACTAAATGACTTCTGACATTTTATTACCGATTCTGAAATTCACCTTTAAATAATATTTACCAATCCGCACAAGCATTTTTTCTATACAAAGAACCGTATTTCGTAGTAACTTTCCAAATCTACTATTGTGCGACATTAGATGAACCCCAACCTACTACATGGTGTTCAAGAGACTTCATGTTAGCAAATCGACTGTCTTGTAAATATTAAGGACGTGAGAGAGAGATTAAGAAAATAAATTTGTGTAACTTTTGAAAAACGACAAAAGAATACAGCGAAATGGCGATTATGTCACTTCATACAGTATTTAGCACTGTTACTACAAACCTTAAAAGAAAAATATTGGAACGGGTTTTGAGAAAATCTTGATTTTAATATTTTTATTATTGTCCATATTTCACTCAAAATTATGCAAAAATTACTAAAATGGGTGAATATGTTGAGTTATTTGGAAACTGATTGAAGTGAAGGCAATTTAGAAACTACATTTGTATTAAAAACGGCTTGAACTTTTTCTTTTATTTTTTGTCGTGTATAACGCATAGTAGGTTTATAAAATGGCGCAGGTTCCATTTTCTTTGAACTGTCTGCGTTTTCGAAACTTGCGAAAGTTACAATTATTAGAGAAAGTATGTGCTGTTGTAGCACTACTAGTTTCTTCTCTGTCACACGCGTCCTCATAAAATTTACGTTTCTCCGATTCACTTCCACGTCCCACATTCGCTTTCATCTCCTGCCAGAAAGCGACGTTGTTTAGAGCCGTCGTAGGAGCTGCATGCGGACGGCATTACACAGCCGCCCAAAAGCCGCCCACGTCCAGCTACCGTTTGTCAGCAGGCCGCTCCGCGAGTCTTCTCGCGTCCATGACCCCACGGGGAGAGGAGACCTCGCAGGGAGCTGCGCCCGCCGCGCGGTCGCTTCCACTCTCTCACTCTCTGCGAGCAACTCTCCCGCTTCTCTCTCTCTTTGGGTATGCCAACCATGCCTCTCCACTGACGTTGCAACGCTTCTCTTTTTCTCCGTTCAAAATATGCCCATTGATTTCATAGTAAAATTTGAGCTACCTTCTGCGGGGCTCGCGTAGCTTATGTTGATGGTCGGATTGTGTTTAAATGACGTATTTTGATTTCTTTTCTCCATTGGTGGGTCTAACAGATAGGCAGCACGATTAGTTAAGTATAATCGAGAAGCAAATGACTATTAAGCAGATGTTTAATAAGTGCTCTCTCTTTCTCTTTCTCTCTCTCTCTCTCTCTCTCTCTCTCTCTCTCTCTTCACGAGAGGCCATACGGTAGTGTCTAATTTGCTCATAGAGGCCACCCGTGACTTCGATTTGCATTTAAAGATATTCTTGCCACTTGCGCCGTTTTCAATGGTAATACGGGAGCAGTGAATATCGCAAACCATTCTTTACTATTCTGGCCAGCGGGTGACATTAACAACTGTAAACTGTTGAACCTTGTCGCACGATACCTCTTGTTTCGCGACTTTTTCACAGGTGGTGCAGCTGTCGCACCTTTTCCCCATTACCGCCTACGTTCACCCACACATGTCTTTGCGATGACTCTCGCGAGGCAACGTTTCGTTTAAACCAAGCAGAGCACACAAACGTTTCGGAACTGTCAAAATACACAAGCAGACAAGTTCTTTTCACCGACCTTTGTGGCTAATTGAAAAAAATGTAATGCTTGACTCTGCAAACTACTTTCTCAGGGAATTCACAATCCATCGTGAATCAGAATCCAAAACTGTTGAGCTCTCAGAATGAAATCATCCCATCAATACTCTCTAACAGTTCCTGTTATATCCGCCTTGAAGCCTTCTACATAAAGGATGTGACGTTTTTTCTTCAAAGATGATCAACTTCAACTTTGGTAAATGCGCGAACAAATGTGAACTATATACGATCGTATGACATACTTATCCTTTGTGTATACCTATAAATATTATTTCTGAACCAACCCTCGTATTTCGTGTATTCCTAGGTTCTCACGTACTTTGAACGTTAAGTTCAGCTCCTCTTGCTAAAAGTGACTTTCCTCTTGGTTTGGAATGAGGAA